AAAGCTTCAGTAGTGAAAAATAAGAAAAGCTTTTTGCAAATGGATCTAATTTAATAACAGCGAGTCAAATAGTTCAGTAAGGAAGGCTTGAAATTTTCATTTTCATCTTTACTTTTCACTAGAAATTTCAAAACATTTATTTAATATATTTACTTACCTTTATTGATAATTATTGAAAAAATTGCTGTGATTTTCAAAAAAAATGGGGACATCTTTTTTTCTAAATTTGAGCTTTGTTTTTACTAAATAATAATAATTGCTATAATAAACTTATTACTTAACTTTTAAACTGGATCTAACCGAGCACATTATAACACCAAAAAAATGCAAAATAAAGTGAATAATGGTAAGAGGAAAAATTGAATTCAACAATTTATAACTATACTCGTAATTGAAACTATCCATATATTAAAAAATCTTCTGCTGAACTCAAAAAAATATATAAAGTAAAGTTATTGATTATTTTATGCATTTTATTTGGTTAAAAATTTATACTTTCAATGGTGAAAATTGGCAGAAAAGTGCATAAAGAAAAGTCATATGGAAGAATGATTCAGTTTTAACAAAATAATAAAGCAAGAATGAGTGACTGTGAATGAAAAAGAAAATTTTCTTGCCATCATAAATTGAGGAATATAAAAATGGATCAAATGTATGTATGCTGATGAATCTATGCGTTTCATTTGATGTAGAAATCGAGATTGACTATGAAGATTGACGACAAATACGATAACTGAAACGTTTACGACCACTACCTGCGTTGCTTTGCTGACATACCCTTTTATTTGTGCATTCTGTTGTGTGATTTCTATTCTATTATATTCTGTTCCGTTCTGTTCTGTTTTGTTTTCTTCTGTTCTATTCTATTCTATTCTATTCTATTCGATTCTATTCTATTCTATTCTATTCTATTCTATTCTATTCCATTCTATTCTATTATTTGTCTGTTCAATATTGTACTACTAGAGCTACTGCTACTGCAACCATGCATGATGATGGTTCTTCTTTATCAAGGACGAGCACGCCAAAATCCACCTTATCTTTCAGTTGTGCGTAAATTGCGCCTCTTGTCAAATTATTATTAACGATTTTGCACATCTATGCATTACTTTCTTTTACTTATATATGAAGTTCATCACATTTATTAATAGCACTAATAATAATTAGAGTAATGATTGATCATAATTGTAAACTCGATATTATAGAACGAATTAATAAAAAGATTAGACAAAAACAAATATAAATTAACGGCTCTAATATTGTTCCGTTTGTAATAGTAATTTCAATCTATTTAAGAAAAATAATGACTAATGTGAATGCTAATAATTGTTGCTAACTGTGAAAAAGATTACAACAAACATTATTTAATCCATTTTATTTAACTATTTGTGATCAAAAGTAATTTTCGCAATTAATAAAGTTTATTTGAGAATTTGCTTTGAGAAAGTTTTTGAAGTTTGTGGAATAAATCTACGTTCAGCAGCTTGAATTAAATAATTAAAATAACTAGGAATGATTCTTCTATTATGAAGGATTGTATTGAGATCATATCAGCAATATTTTATAGAGATGAAGTGACAATAGTGTTAAATTATCACTGTAAAAAGTTGAAATGATAATATTTGTATGGGATCTCCTCCATTAAACTTTCTGTAAACATGAGGAAACAGAAGGCAAGGTAAAAAGAAAGTCAGTACTTTAACTACAGTGGAATAATAAATAATTTTATTATAATTGTAATAATATTATTCACTAATAACTAATTATTACAAAACTTAAAACTATCGTTACCATATAGTGACAACATTATTTTGTGTGCTTATTTGGTTATTAATGAACTTATGTTCAAGAAAAAACTGTTTCGGTGCCGCTCATGCAAGTGGAACGCCTCTATTTATTTTTCAAAATAATTAATTAGTATGAATATTTTGAGTAATGGACCACAAACATTTGAATTAATGAGCAAAAAAAAATTCTGTAAAATGCATTTAAAAGAAATAGCATTTTGTATCATGAATGGATAGTCTTATATAATGAAGGATTTTTTTTACTATTTTCAAGTTTTTAGTATTCAATACTTTCTTTACAAGTTTGAAAGGAAAGTTTGAAAAAGTAAATAATTTGTGTATGAACTTAAGATTATTCAAACTTAAGTTTTAACAATTAATCAAATTTTAGTAAATTGGCGAAGGAATTTATCTGAATCAAAAATATTAATTAATTAGCATAAGTTACAAGTTGCAAAATACTAAGATATGAATTAGAAATCCATATGAGATTTATAAGTTTATCCAAAAATGTACCTGAGCAATCATTGAAACAACTTCTATCATTAATCATTCTTATGAATTAATTTCAGTGCTGCTAATATAAGTAGAATGTTTCTATTTATTTTTGAAAATAATCATTATGGAAAATTTAAATAATGAAACGAAGAGACTTTAACAGACGAACAGATTTGGGCTTGTTTTAATATTCAGGTCAAAATATAAAATTAAATTTTCGTCTAATATTTTCGGAAGGAGCAAAGCAACAATTTATATTGGTTTCAAGTCTTTTGTAATTTTAACATGGAATTTATAGGTTTTATCTAAGAACAAGATTAATATGCCTAGTTGAGTGGATAAAACAAACCACAATAAACTATCAACTTAATGACTAATTGATAAATTAATTAGTTTTATATCACACATTTTCGCTCAGTCATTAGTATAATAAGAAAATACTCAAGACTATTATTACATTGACTTTGTAATATCATATTAGTGCAATCCATTTTGACCAAAATTGTATGAAGCAATTATCTCGTACGTGAAGTCAATTCTATCCTTGTATACCTGAACAATATTAGTGCAAAAAAATCAAGAAAATTTAGGATTAGTACATACATCGATGATCATTCTTCTTGTATTTTGCATTAGTATCTGCAATACCTTTTCAATATACTAAATATTAAATTTTATCTCCACAGTGTGTCAAAAAAAGTTTATCTTTCATCTGCATAATAAAATAAGAACAAATAATTGCAATACTAGCGTTATTATAAATACATCATATGATAATGTTAATAGTAATGACAATAATGCTGATAGTAAGAATGCAAATATGATAACAATAATAGCAAGTTAATAATTCAACAAAGATAAAGCACAATAATTTTGAAGAAACAATTTTCAGTGGTTTCAACATTTTTATGAATATTTGTTATGAAAATGAGGAAAAGTTTCTTCAATGATAAATTTTTTAATCAAAGTTTAGGTTAGGATCCGGTTGCAACGCATCTTCCACAGCATTTATTGTATGCTTGTTGCTAGCAAACAAATTTCCTGAAGAAATCAACATATTTTAAGAGATCAATGAATCATAATTAGCAAATAATTTAAAATTGTTGTAAGATGATGATAAAAAGAATTGCAAAATGTCAGTGACTGAGTAAACTAGTAAGTTGTAAGCAACGATTTTTTGTTTGATTTAGTACCTTCATTAAAACAATAATTTTATCTTACTGAAAGAGACAATTACCGGTTTTAGTTATTCACCTTAAACCATACATGAATATAGACAGTTTGACTGATTATTAATTATTCATATAGGGCAATAATGATCGCAAATAGAAGCAAATCATTACGTACCTTGCGATTAATCTTGGATACATATGTGACCATGTACAATATTACTAGTGCTTCTTATGTTATACTAGTTATAAAAAGAAACCTGTTGCTTTTAAAAATATATGTTAACAAATATTATACTACTATCAATAATTATCATTTCGTTGCAAACACTTATTTGTTACTTTCAAAATTTTTTCCGGGAAAAATAGATTACTTTTACTTTGAATAATTCTTTTGCTACAAATTTTCTTTCACTACAATTCTTCAGTTCAGAAATAATTTTTTGCGTTTAAAACACATTTACATAAAACTACGAGCGAAGTAATAAGTGAAATTTGTTATTTACTTAAATTGCTGAATACTGTACTACCTGTATTGGATTTAACTTTCCTGATTAGACCTGTTTCAAATTGTTTGTAAAATATTCACAAGTTATGCATTTATCCATTGAACTTCATGTAGAAACAATTTTGATTATGAACTCGAGTGAAAAAATTTTATCACTCGAAATTTCGGAACAAATTTAGGAGTAAAAAAAGTACTCAGGCTTTCAACAGAAAATAATACATAATATATACCGTCTCACTAGAAATAATACAAATTGCTTAAACATTCCAGACAATGCATTACTCACATCTGCTGAAACTATCGATGACTTCAGAAATATTGCTAACCTAAAATATCTCTAATCAGCAAGTTTTCACTAATTCAAATTCAAATCTAAATATATTTGATGTCATTTGTGTTTATAACAATCTCATTTTATTACAGCAAAATTTGTCTCGTACCCGTGTTTAAAGAAAATTAAAGTAAAACTAAAGTTTAATCATGACAAACGTAAACTTGAATTCATTTTCATGAAGTCTTTAAAACTATTTCCACTCAAACAGCTGTAGCTTTACAAGCAAAATAATGAACAATATATAAATTACATATACCAAATATATAAAAAGTATTCATAAACAAATCCTTTTAAAATCTTTTCAACATCTTAAAACTACTGCACAAGTTTTTAAGCTCAAAATTAATAGAAAAATTAGACAGAACGATTTAAAACACAAATCATCAATCTAAAAGAATTGCCAATCTTTCGATAATATTCATAAATTCAATAGTATTTCCATTACCCCCAAAAAAAAACTAGCGTTTACAAACATTAACAAGCTAAATAATGACTATTTTTTATTATGATAAACAAATTAAATTATTTTTTGATGAATGTATGGGAAAATTCTTCATCATTCTAACCTGGAATGAAAAGTTTGAAAAAACTTTTAATAAATAGGATGGAGTAAAAATTAGCACAATAAATCACAGATAAAGGATGTAAGGCTTTTGAACAGTGGATATAGAGTGACTAATGGAAATAATAATATCCATCAGATTTTATACAGGTAGCGGTGCATCTTCATAATAATCTTTTTCTAGCCAGCCACTTTCATTATCCGATTCATCGTTACTATCTAGCTGTAAAAGAAGAAAATTTTTATTAAAGTTTATCAAAATACACTAATTATAGCATGTTATTTAAAGCATAGAATAAGAGATTACTGCTTTCAGCTCTTTTTCGGTAAAGATCTTAGTGATAACAAATTGTCTAAATAACACATAAAGTATCAAAATGAACGGAAACACAAGGGCTGTTCGTTGGAAATATTTGACTGCATAAATAAAAATTAGACAAAGCATTTGTATTGCTGTATAACAATGCATCCGCCGGATATCTACCTGAAAATGTAAAATGAATAGTTCAAGAAGTAAACAGATAAATTTTGCTAATATTTTATTAAAAAAGTTTAAATGAAGAAGAAAGTTACTGATTCTGTGTAAGGCGTATCAGGGAAATATTTTTTGGGTATAAAGAAAAGGATAATCCGTTGAATAAATTGTACTCCCACAAGATTCATCAAGCCTAAATATAGAAAAACTCCAAATAATGATGCAAGTGGAAGCCTCAAATATGAACCCCCGAAAGCAAAGAATCCGATTAAAAGTGATACTCCAATTGTGGTCACTCTTTGTTCAATGACATGATCCACTCCTGTAAAAGTCAGTATTTATTTTTTTTACGTAAAAAAAAAGATTTGCTTAATGTGTTTTTATCCAATACTCAAAAAAGTATTAATTTAATAAAAAATGATTAAATCTAGAAACCGATCACAGAATTACTCAAAATTTATACCAGGCCTTTCTCCAGGTGCAGTTTTTTTGGGAACAGATAATGAACTACAATGAGCAAGCGACTGAACAGCAGCAGCACACATCCAAGGTAAACCAAACACACTACAAAGCAAGGTGCATAGGCCCATTAATAGCAGATCCCAGTGTAAACCACTTCCTTTAACTAAGCCTCGATCTTTTCGAGACAGCAAAAGCCTGTAACTATTATCTTTAAAAACCTTTAAAGGTAATACTATGAACAGAAATTTTTAAAAATTGCATTTGTTTAAAAAAAATAAATACCAGCTAACTCACTCAGTAATTTCTGTTTCAACAAACAATAGTATAAAAACAAGTAGTGCTGCGACCAATGCCACTAAAATCACCCATAACTGGTTTAAAGGAAGATAAGCAGAGACAAATAAACCATGTCTTCTTGCTTCAACATTGGTAAAATTGAAACTGTCAGGCACTTCGAGGCGCTGGAAACAATTCAATCTTTTAAATAATTTGTAAGCAAAAATTTTAGGTTCGCTAAAGTTATTTGAATGATATGAATACCTGTAAATATGGATCAGGGACACAAAAGTGCGCTATGCTTGCAACCACTGCAATTGAAATTAATACTCCAAAATCACCAATGGCACGTCGAAGCTGAAAAATACAAAAAAAATGCAAAATAGTTTGCGCTTAAATTTTCATGCTTGATTCCGGATTGAATATTTAAAATTACGATTACGTTTGCAATGATTGAAACAAAGTTTAAAGCTAATTAAACTAGTAAGCAAAAAATCATCAAACTTGAATATCCACAAACCGTTCTTCCTAAATAATAACTTTGTCGTAACTGTCTTAATCCATACGCTAATGCAAAGGTAGATATCATAATAATAGTGGTTAACAAGGCTGTATTTGGTTCACCATGACAATTAATAGATTTTTCAGAATCCAATGGTCTAGTACGACCTGTGTCACATTCATCACGGTACCGTTTATAAAATTCGAAGTTTGCAACAGGGTTGTTGACAAATGTCTCAAAAAAATAAATGGTTTGAAACACTGATAAACGTTTTTTAAAGAAAAAACATAGCTTATAATTTTGTGATTAAAAAGTATGCGTTAGGCACTTACAAATCAAATTTTACTGTAGATTAATTTTTCTCATTTCTTTTCAATTAAAAAAAAGAAACATATAAGTTTCAAATTTCATTACCTGGTAAAGAAACCGCAAACTCTCAGCAATGAATATGACTGATATAAGTGAAGCAAATATATCTTCTGTAAAACGTGTCACATAACGTAACATCCTCGAACCATCTACCGCAACAGTAGCAGCAGAAATAAGTAAAACCCATATTCCAGAATAAAGCCGAAGTGTTAGAAAATCAATGCTAAGATATTCGCAAAACTGCAATCCAAGAAAGTAATATAATAGTCTAAAATTTTTTACTTACAAGCAAAATTAAGAGCCATAAGTCCAGAATATTAAAAACTGACTCACCGCATACAAACTGACTTCAAAAACGAGTACAGGGCCTGTCGCACTCATAATCATGAGAGGTTGAACAGCTAGTAATCCCCAAAGAATGCCACAGATGCATTGAGCCATTAACGTCTCAATTATGCCGATTTTTTCATTTGTATATTTCCCTATGGATTATTAAAAGCTTTGGTTATACAAAAGAAAAAACTGTCATCTTAAAAACAAAAAAATTAAAAAAAAAGCAATAACTGTCTATGATGATAACATACTTACCTAAAAGACCGCCAAATGTAATTGCAGGTGCAAAACTGGCACAAAACATGAATACAACGCTTGCAAGGCACTGGAAGTTGAACGCATCAAGATAATCGGACCTAAAATTTTATCAGTCGCGACTGCAGCCTTTGCTTGTGTCTGCCTTTATTTTCATATTCAGTGCGCACATTATCATCAGTTAAAGTTGATCCACAGAAATTCCCCAACTGACTGCAAAAGACAGTAAAGGAAATCGTGGTGTATTTTGGGTGGAATAACTAACAATATTCAGCATGAGCGGCGAGAGAATTTTCTGTGCTTTCCTTTTTAAATACATGCAATATCAATTTAGGCATTCCTCACCAATAATACGGAAACCGCTTTTCAAAATCAGAAATCATTCCAGAAAAAAAACGACATCTTCCCTCTTTAATACGATGTTTTGTAAAGCTGCCATCATTTTTCTGTGCAGTTTTTTGAGGTCTAGCTGAAAATTACAATAATCACTTATTATTCACATAATCATTAATTATTAATTTTGAAAAGAATTGAAATTGAAGTTGAACTAACAGTTGTAAAACGTAAAAATAACAAACAAAAATTGATAATTTGCAATAAACTATTATTTTAAATGAAAAAGGGAACTAAATACAAAGCATACGGTCACATTTTTCAATGATATTTTTCCGATTTCGTCGTTTTTTCATTGCTTTTCGTATTTCATCGCAAGACAGCAGACGTTTACTATCAATTTCACCAGGTGGAATAACAACCGAATCATCGAGGAAGTTATCTACCGCGCTGATCAATTCTTCACGAACTGTTGCTTTATAAGCAACACTGCTAAATTCCTGAAAACTAATGATTCGGTTGTTGTGCAACATTTCTTGCAGTACTATTCGGTTTTCTCGATATATTTTCCAGAATAGTGGATATTGAAAAAATAAAATTTAAAAAAAAGCCGAGAAAAATGTTATTTTATAAACGTCAAAGAAGATGGCGAATTAACCATGTTAGTCATTAATGTTGCGATAGATCTTCCTACTTCGTGATAACTAACATCTGATTGATCAGGTCCCAAGATTACGATAATGAATCGGACCGGCACTTCACCATCCAAAATTTCTGTATATAAGGTTGGCTCTTTAAGTCGAAGCATAACAAAATGAGCTTTTGTTAGCGTTGAAATAATGCCGACAAAAATCTGCAACAAACTGTGATCTGTACTTAAGTAAAAGATATAAAATCGACTGATATTCCCATTTAATTCAGGTTTCCAAAAAGAGGCAAGCAAAATTACATTTTTTGAAGTCCATAACGAAGCATTGATTCCATAAAAGTAAGATAACATTTTTGTCATATTTTCTCGAAAATAAATACTGTTTTGGAGAGGGTAAAATAAAAGAGGAACTGGTTACTTGTACAGTTTCGATACCAATTGGAAGTTTCTTTAAAATGTCTTCACTCTTATAGATTTCTGATGAATGTGTTCCAAACCTAGAAATTGTTCAATTTCATACAAGCAGAATTTTGATTTTACTTTAAACACAAAATCAAGAACGAAAATATGAAACTTACTTTCCCAAACATTCTGAATGCACTGATGTTGATTGCTTCATGCAGTTTGTAAACGATCGCTCGTGCACTGCAGGACTTGTAGGAAGATTAGGAGAGCTACAAAATAAAATGTAACTGCAACGAGTAATCTGTGAGTCATGGCAATATCACTGCTGGTGCTCATATATATGTACACCTTTGTATCAAATAAAAGCAAACCTCTGTTGCTTATATGGTACTCGTACATTACTCACTGAATCACGCGTCCTTTCATCCGTTTCTACGATTGTCGGTTCCTTGCGATCATGTATTTGAAATGAATGTTCTCTGTTTATCACATCTAAAACTTATATGAAAAGGTTCCAAAAGCTGTAGGACTTTTGTCCAAATGCAATTCTTTTGGACTTAGATTAAACGTATAGAAAATTTCTGTAACCAATCAAAGCCCATATTTGTTCTCACCTTTATGTGACTTGCTATTATCCAACATATTTCCCGTTATTGAAATGCTGTTTTCAGATCGACGATCGAAAATTGTGCCAGCTATCAGTAAAGGAGTTAGTCGTCGTGAAAAAGGATGCCTAAACGTGGAAAAGTAACAAATGAAAAAAATTCTTGTGATGGGATTGAGTAATGAATAATATATAATATTGCAAATATACAATGATTTATCCAATTAAATCAGCTGTAAAGCCATAATGAATTCAAAAAAAGAAAATGAAAAATGAATTTACGCTTGTTTCATTGATAAAATTTGTAGAATATCTTTTCTTTTGCAATTTATTCCCTCCAAAATCATAGCATTAGCAACCTGTTCACAAACATCCGTGAAGGTTTTAGCTTTGCAGTCAAGTAAAATCATGCCTGAATTAACACTTTATATATTATATTTAAATGTTCATTCATCTTTTGTTTGTTTATCTATTTATTCAAATAATAAAAAATACCGCTAAAATGTTGTTCCCGTCAATAGCAGCTCATTCAAGCAATGAGTTTTTAAGCATGAAGCCAAATTAAAATTAATTTAGTTACCTACACATCACGACAAAAGATATTAATAGCTGAATTTTAAATGATAGTATATTAAACTGCATGATAATATTCCAGCGGACCTGTGCGTATAAATTTTCGCAGTGATAATAAAGCATGGAATGAGAGGAATGCCACATGTGGTTGACCCCAGTGATGATCCGCTCCTTCAACATCCTAAATAGGAACAACTATGACTATAATAATCTGATTTTTCCAATAATTATTTTTCTTTTCATCCAAAGTGCTTCCTAGTTACCATTTTGATTTTTCGATATTTAAAATTGATAGCTAATATGGTGATTCTGAGTCACTGCGTCAATACTCAGCCATCAGGATGCTAAATTTGTTGAATATGTAAGAAATATTAAATTAAACAAACCTCTTCATATTTTATCCACCGAGCTGTTTCAGTCCATTTCCCTCCTTTTTGCAAATCCAAATCATATAGTTCAACAAAAACCTAAAAAACGTTCTCTTCTATTTTTATATGTGAACTTTAATAATTTACTAAACGCTTCATGAAGTCGTTAAATAACTAGATGATACCAGTAGAACCTAAAGTGATCAGTCTATTCTTGATGATCATATTTATTTCCCGCTTTTATTTTCATATTTTTTATTTTCTTATATATTTTGCACAAATCAAGCGCTACCAACCTGTGATATAGAATAAGCAATAATGTTAACATTCCGAAAATTCACTGAAGTAAAATTAGTCAAGCATCCGACATTACGATTTACCTGATTATGAGCATGTTTTTTCACGACATTCCCAGCTTCAGAACCAGAAAAGGATGTGGACAATATAGATATTGGTTCGTTAGAAGTGAAACCTAAACAAATCCCATGAGTTTTTCCGCTTATTATTTGATTTTAAAGTTGATTAGAAATTTAAAATAATGTTATTCATTAAATAAAACTATCAGACAAATAGAAGTGTTAATGAAGTTATTCAATATCATGATTATTTGTTTTTGTCTCACTACAATGTTTATGACAAGAAAGTTTTCGCTGGCTCTAAATTTTTGAAAGCATTAAAAATCCAGTGATCATCATTTAAAAATAATGCGTCACAGCTCAATAAAAATGATTTTTATCAATTTCCTAGCGCTAGTCGACTCGCTTTTCGCGTTTTGTCATAAGACTGCAGCGGTAATGGTATTAAAATTGACCCGAAAAATACATTGTCTTAAATTTCATCTTTTTAAAAATAATTTTTGATACAAAACAAATGAATAAAGTCTTTAGTTGTGAAGATCAGTAAATTAAAAGGTGAAATTACAGATGATATGATGTATATTTACCGCTGCCATTTTTTGCTGCATAGAATGAATGACTTTTATGCTGATTCTTAGCAAAAGAACTGACTGCTAAATCTTTTTCGATTAATTCTAATTCTGATTCCTCCGTTCTTGACAGATCACACGACATACCACCTGAATGATATTGGACAATTAAAATTCTTAAAATTTTTCTTTCAAAAAAATCAGCATAATCTGAGAATAGAAGTAAAATTAAGTAAAATTCGTATTCGGTAGTATTATTCAAAAATTATGAATTATCTAATGGCTTTGTAATCAAAATCAAAGACACATCAATCAATGTTGAGCTTACTTATTAATTTGCAATAAATCAATAAATCAATCATCATTAAGTTCACGTATTTTTAAGTTAGCGCAACTAGCCACCATTTGGCGGGAAAGTTTTTCGAAAATTTGGTTGAAAAATAATTCAAAATGCAACAGCTAGCGTCACTTCTCAAGTCCTATGCAATTACTAAATGAGCAAAGTTTTTTCCTATAAGAATCAGTTCATTATTGACAACATAAGTGATCAATCAGTCAAAATGAGTAAATAACAAATAATATGTGTGCCAAAAAACACACATTATACAATCAAAAAAAAGGAAAATTTTTTGACACAAATGCAGTGAGAAAACGATGCATTATTTGTAATCAGTGCTGATGCATTTCTATTACTGGAAAAGGAATTTTTCAAATAAGAATATAATAATAGTATGATAGTAAAAGGTAATACAAATTTCAAAATAATTACATTTCATAAATTTAAAACAAGAAAGCAGCAAGCAAAAGTTGATAATCTATGAAAGCAAGATTGAAAAAACTACTTGAAAAGATAACAATAAGCAATTATAATGTAAATTAGACAGTTTGGAAAATTGTAGCATATGAATTTATTCCTATCGCAAATCCAAAAAACGTTTACAATTTAACATACCGTTGTGATCAATATACCATTTAGGTTGCTGATAGAGATAATGATTTTGATATTGCTCTTGCTGGTGTTGTTGACCAATGTCCATAATCATTATCGGCACACAATTACTGGCTACTATCCTACTTGTCTTAATCTCCTTTACATTGTTCACTCATTATCCGACCATCACCATTCATTACTGAGATCTGAATCTGTCTTTTTTTCTCAATCTTCTCATCCTTTTGCCATTCTCTTCTCCTCTCACTCTTTTGCATGTCTTCCTTTAACAATCTCTTTTTACCTCTCCTTTTCTACCAAATATTACTCTATCCCTCTCACGTTTTCACTTATAATTACATTTTCAGCTCATTTTGATTAGAATATAATCTTTTGAAATGACATAATTTTACGAGTAAACTATTAGCAATTGTAATTTTTACTGCTGTTATTAATAATAATAATAATAATAATAACAACAACAATAACAACAACAATAATGATTTATTTTTATTATTGTTATTTATCATTATTATTAATGCAATTATCATCGATATCATTATAAAAAAATTATTATATATGAATCATTATTATTTAAGATTATCATTAGAAGATATTATTGTCATTAATATTGTCGTTATCACTACTGTTATTATTTTTATTATTGGTCATTATCATTATTATCATCGATTACTGTTATCATGGCTAGAATTATAATTATTATCATCATAATTGCTGTTATAATCATTACCAAACATATGCCTCATACTGTGTTTCAACCTAATTCTCTAACCTTCACAACTTCCTTTCATTATACACATGCATGTCTTAGGTTTCTAGCAAAGTTGATTTTATGAATTATATCTTCAAGTCATCATCACAATTATAATTCATTATATTATCATTATTGATAACGGCTCAAGTTATTAATTGAAAAAATATACATTCGTGAAAAAATGAATGAGCGAAAATGCTTACTTATTAATGAAATGATTTAATACCAGTAATTTAATACCAGTAATAAATTTGATGCGAAGACATCATTAAAGAAAAGTTATCTATAGCATTTATAAATTGCCATGAAATTTTTATTTTGATCACAATACACATTTAATGACAAGTCTTTTCACTGCAAGTAATGGATAAGCATGCAAGAATCTGATAAGACAAAGCGAAATAAGTTGCATTAGATGCAGATCAGCAAGTAACTAATTAAAGTAAGGTCAAAGGTCAAACAATAAATAATAGTAATATATAACGAGGAGATTCAAACAGATGTGCAATCACTTGAAGATTTATTCGCACAACAAATTATTTTTTTATTAAATGACTAAGCTATCAAAGTATGTACGATAGAAAAACAAATATTAAGTTAAAAATGGCATCATCAGTGGAAGTATAGCGAGGATAACAGTGCGTTGCTATTAATATATTTGTTTATCTGCAAATATGTTAATGAGGTATGATAAGTTGGATGATCATACCAATGTTTATAAGTTTTCCATGAGAGAGAAGATTGTAACATTAAATTATTTATTTGCTACAGTAATTGTTTTGAATTTTTACTTTTCTCTAATTTAAATGAAACTTTGAGATAGCTATAATTACAGCAAATTTAATATTCAAGATAAGCAAGTAAATTTCGAAAGTAATTCTGCTTTATTCTTTTGTTTTAGAATCAATTTTGAACTTGTCTGTGTTAAAGCACTACTTAATCTTCAATTTTAGTGAAGAAAGCACTGACTTTTTAGAAATAGTTCTTGATTTTCTAAAAGTCCCTGAAACGTTCAACGAAATGAATTACTTCCATTGCATAATATCAAAATAATTCAATTATATATGGGAATGAAAGTTTTGCATGTTCAAGATGCAAAAAATATGCAATAAATCAAAAAATTTTTGTGATTTCTATATTATTCATAGCACAATCAAATAAAGCGCAGAATTTTAGCAAACTCTGCACATTTCAAAAATTTAATTTCTTTATATTTTATTAGAAGCGCTAGCATTAAATCTGCTTCGAAAGTCTGTAAGTTTTTTGAGCAAACGATAATTTTAGAAATTTACACATCTCCTCCTATTAAGTCAGTAATATCTAATACTTTTGTAGTACTTATCTAATATACTTTTGTTATGTACAAAAGTAATTTTTTCAATAAAATTAAATAAAAAATAGTTTCTATGCTAAATTTAATTTCTATGTTCCATAGAAAATAATGTCGGAATTATTAGTCCTGTAGAAAAATCTTCTTGCCACAAAAAAATCTTCAAACTTTTAGTTCAGTTCATATTATAACTGATGACACCTGTTAAAAATTTTTAGTAGAGAAAAACGAAATAGTATTTTTGAATTTATTTTTGTATTGCAGTGAAGTCTGATTCATTTCCTTAGAGTTTGATCGCTAATATTTTTAGAATTAATAATTTCTCTGCTTATCATTCACATGGTAATCGTCTTATGAGATTGCTTCTCTTCAAATTAAAACTGTGCATTATTATTCAAATTGATGTAATATAACCTATAAATGAATGATTCATCAAGATAAATTCTACACTGAATTGAAATTATCAAATGTGATGGAAAAGCAAATCATACAAAAAATATTGAAATCAAACTAACCAAGTGCAAAGAAAACACGTTGTGGATTTGATAACAAATTGTGACTTGCATTACTTCCTGTACCATTTTCCACGATTTCTTCATTACTTTTGTCTTGGTAGCATTCTTCAAGAGTGCAGCCATTTTGGTTGAAAGTTTGTGATTGGTTTGCCTTATGTATGGTTTTATATTCATTACTATCTTCGGATATCTCATTATATCTGCCTCTGACCTTTGATACGTTTTTTTTTGATGAGCTGATAATCCATTTTTCATGATTTAATTGTGGATGAAATATATTTGATTGCAGATGGTTATTTCTATCAGCACATTCAGATTCAAGAAGTGGTGTTTGAGAATTTTTCCCATCGTCCGACAGTATTGTTATTTTTGAAGCCATCGCCAATCGACACCTTTGTGCGAACTGAGATAAACTATGAAAAATAGAAAAATAGTAGAAATAGCGAAGGTGCAATTCAGGTGCAATATCAAGAACGAATCTGACCCACTAGCATTTATAAATATATATATATATATAATGTCTGATTTTGGCACTCCTATCTACCTTAATCCATTCTGATCTGAACTATAAAAAACAAGAATGAGACTGAAAAATGAAATTAAAAGTTAATAGAATGCAAAGAAAAACTTGCGAATTTTTTTTCCATTTTTTCAGTAAAATTATGTAAAAAATAATTGAAAACTTTATTTCCATCAAACTATTTTGATTAAATATGAATTAATATATTCTATTAATATATTCTGATTACTGACACTGAAAGCTTTGCACTTCTGTGCATTCTGCTGCAGGCTTTTTGACACTTTATCCAAATTTGACTTAAAGCTACATTTGCAAATATAATTGTTTACTTCGATGATAACTCAAACAAAGCAATAAGTCAAAATTAATACAAATATAGAATAAATATACAAAAATACCTGGAAAGAATTTAAATTTGTACACCAAACAACCCTTATTTCGTCTTAGACTTACTCATTGAATATCAAGTATTACCTGCGCTGAACGCCAAATTCACTGAACGCGTGTTATGGAACCAAATTTTTTCAAGCACTTACCTTGTCAATATTATTTTTATGACCGATTCACATGCAAATTACTTTCCAAAACAACCCGAGTATCAATATGTGAATATGCAGTTAATGTTTCGAAATTTAATGAACAAATTCTGCATAGAATCCCTAAGCTTCTTTTTTGTTGTTATTGAAAAATGCTTTCTTAAAACAATTTTTTCTAATGCCGAAGAAAAGTTAGTTGATAAAAAGCCAAATTTAAAAAATCAAACAAGCATAAAATCAAACTGCAAGATCGAATTGAAAACGATATGAAATTGATATAGGCAGGCAGTATTGAAGTGGAAGTGAATATATTTGCTTAAACGAGGGCCAAATTTGACCTTACGAAGTAAAACTGTTTGTTTTTTACTTTTTTAATTTTTGATCACACGAAAAATAAAAATTAAAAAAGAAATGCGGTACTTTTTCGAATTACAAATTTTATAATATTATTTCGCTGTACGAAACTGAAACAAGCAAACTTGTATTACGAATTCTGTTGCACTTATCTAATTCAAAAGACTAACTTTATTATAAAAAAAATTTATGGCTTAGAGATGGAATCTACTGAAAAGGGCATTAAGCGGTCTTTGAAATTTCATAAAAATTATTGTGTACTTTGATATGAACT